TTTTCATTTTTTTTATTCTATTTCATTGTTGGTCAAAGGCCATTTATCCAAAATCATTGTTGAGGGGGGTTATTTGGCCAAATTTCCCAAGATAATAGGTTTTGTGGTTTTTGATTTAATTATTTGATTTTAGGTTTTTTTATATTAAAAAGGTAAAATTACCATTTTGCCCTTTAATAATTAGTAAACAAATGGTCATATTTTTAATTTTTCATCAACTAACGGTCAAACTAACGGTTTGTATCAATTTGGACTCCGAGTGCGAATTGTTTAAAGATTTGGTACCGTGAAATGTCACAAATGAAATGTTTGGACAATATCTGCAAAAATGTGAAATATTTGGTTTGGTTGCAAATTTCCCTTTTTGTTTAATGTATGTTTTTGTAATCTGAAGTGCTCTGATGCACATTTGAGCCGCCATTCGGTCGCCATTTTTTCTTCTTCACCCTCTTTGAGTAAGCTCCTCGTCGTAATAAACTTCAATTGAAAGAACATTTTTTTTTGAAAACGCTTTCACTGATGTATTAATTGATTGAAGGTTGGTGTTAATGGACTGTAGACTTCTTTCTTTCAATCAGATCAGTGGTGTGGCTTGTAATTTCCGAGCTATTGCTGTTCAAAAAAGTAATCCATATCGTCTGTCCTCTTTTACTCGGCCAGGTAACTAGAAATTTGTCCTTCAAATCTATTAAAATTTGTTGATATCTGCTTTTTTATCTTCTGAAAGGTTTATCATTAATTCCTATATGCATTAGAGTGTAGAATTTCTGAAACATAAAGTGAAGCAGATTTCTTTATGTCCATGTACTGTAGTTGGTACGCTGTTCTGAGTAAGAGCATCTTTGGCTATGCTTTACAATGTTTACTTATTTCTAAAAGGTGTTGTCGAGATGAATGTTCCAAAATTTGACACAAAATATTTTTTATTAGTCAAAGTTGAAAATTGCTAATTCCCTTTTATTTTGTAATACTTACTTCCAGGAACATCAACTTAGTTTATTACTTTAAAGGAAGAAAAAAAGTAACTTATCTACTAAAAATAAAAAGTAACTTCTACTTTTTTAAAAAAAAAAAAAAATTGAAAATGGGATGAACTTGGTTTTTGACATTTCAATGAAGTTTAATTTTGGAGGAAGGTCTTTTTAATTTATATGAGCAGAGATTACAAAGTTGAACAAGAAAATGGCTTAATTTTGTTGACATTACTTGCATTTAATCTGTAAATTATACCTATCAAAAAAATTTAATCTGTAAATTACTAAATTGTGCTGAAATTGCACTTGGAAATGCACTAACAAATAACATTCACCTGTGATAAATTTGACTACTAAATAAATAATCCTTAAAATGATCCTGGATGTGTAAAAAGTTTTTCATTTATAATGTTTAGCTATTATTTTTGCCTGTGGAACAATATTTTTTGTCAGAGAGATATTTATTAATTTGAATCGGCTTTGATTGGGCACTTATGAATCTCTTAAGACATATGAAACAGTTAGCTATGCTCTTTAGATTGTTTAAAGAATGCCAGGCCTTGATTAGGTAGTTTGGTCAGTTATGTCACATGCCTGAGGGCTAATTGGGGCTTTAAAGTTGGAATAGAAATTATTCCTTTAGAATTTTGCACGTACTTCTAAGAACCTAAGTCTACGTTGGCAGTCCAATTCCGTAACAACAAACATGGTCTTGAGATCCTTGAAAAGTTACAAGATAGATGACCATTGTTGGGAAGATGACTAAATAATGCAAAGTGGTTTATTTTTTGATCAGTGAAAATTCAAGTGGTTTTGAATTATAGGAATTAAATGTCGTTAACAAGCTAGGTTTTTTAGTAAAATAATGATTAAGGTAATCTATAAATGGATTGAATGTTATTCAATCAAAGTTTCAATCTTATATATATATAAATGAATAATTTTTTGTTGCGCTTTCAGTAAATCCGTGTTTACAGAAGTTACATCTTATTACCACATTGCGTCGTGTATATAATAAATCTATGATTTAAATGTGTGCGCATCTGGATAGAAACACTATAGTGTCATGCTATTTCTTCTCATCTTCTGCATTTTGTGGTTTCACAGGGCCATTTCATTGCACTCTAAATTGTTCAATGAAGTCCTATAGGCTATCAGATCTTACTACATCCGAGGTTGATAGCCTCAAAGCTCGTCCTCGAATTGATTTTTCTTCCATTTTTGATGTGGTGAGCCTTCGTGTTGTTTAGCGCACCAACTTGTTCTTATAAAATTTGTTATCTTGTTATGTGGACTTCATTGTAATATTGGAATCAATGTTGGATCAGGTTCAACCAATTGTTGATGACGTACGCAGTAGAGGCGATGCAGCTGTTAAAGAGTTGGTGCTCCTTTTACTTCTTCATTTTGATTTTTATAATATTTTGTGACGTTTGAGAAGTGTGGGAAAACTCCTTTGCTATTCAAAATGGAAATATATGTTGATCAACAGAAGGCCATGATACTGTTTGTAGAAAAGCCCTGAGGACAATATTGGAAGCCTTACAAAATTGGGCTAGTTCATGATATGATTATGGTTAAAAGACTGGTTTTAAGCTTCGCTAGGTTCAGAGAACTGCACCCACCAACCTTTTGGGTTATTTTTGTTTTATTCTGGAATCATGGTAGAAATTAATTTGAGGGAGGGTTTTGTTTACTAAAACTAAAGTGTCTGGTTGTAAGGAGCGGGGCTAAATTTCTGATTGTGGTCATGAAAGCTTGAATAGAAGAAGAGGACACATTTTGTGAACCATTTATTAACTTAGGCATCATTAATTGCAGTTGCATCAAACCAGGGAATGCTGATAATGCTTTTATTTATTTATTTATTTTCTAAACGTATTCTTCTATCCAAAAAGGGGTGCAAATAATGTTAATAGGTTGTAGTTTTCTCCTGGTTTTGCTAGGGTTTTGACCAAGATTCAAAATTCACAAATTTTTAATTTATGACTTCTATACTATATAATACTTTTAAAGAGTTCATATGTAGCCAGATGTTCCTGTTTTCACCGGATATGCGACACAAAGGCATAATACATATAGAAAATGATTTTAACCTTATCGAGCCTATATGCATCTGTAGGCTTTGTTGGGATGTTCTGCTCGGTTTTCATTTCCTTCAGTTGAGGATGACTGCTATTTATGTTTTTCTTTGACAGCTATACAATGCGATTTGACAAAGTGAAACTAGACAATATAGTCGAGAATGTCAATGAACTTCCCGATCCAGAGGTATCTCTTTTGGACAAAGTTTTCACAAATTCTGCTTGTGATTCTACTTGTTTAGTTGCTAAGTTTTATTATATTACAACTGTTCCGTTTAGCATTCAAGTCCACAAGTCGGTAACTTGTACTTTGATGATTAGCTTGATGCAGCTGTTCAAGAAGCATTTGATGTGGCTTACAGTAATATTTTTGCATTTCATGCTGCTCAGAAGCCTGTAGAGAAAATTGTCGAGAACATGGAAGTAAGTACTTTAACTTTTATGGTAGTTCTTGTATTGGAATTCGAGGCTAAGTTGCAGTTTCCTTGTTTTCAATTTTGCTAGGGTGTTAGGTGCAAGCGAGTGGCAAGGAGTATTTCAGCTGTTGGTCTCTATGTTCCTGGGGGCACAGCTGTTTTGCCTTCAACTGCTTTGATGCTTTCAGTTGTAGGTGACTCGAGTTAACTATATATTATTCTGTTTTGGATTTATTGATTTTCATTTCATGTTGCTTGATTGATGTGGGATTTCTTCAATCAGCCTGCCCAGATAGCCGGGTGCCAAACTATTGTACTGGCAACTCCCCCTACTCAAGATGGCAGCATTTGTAAGGTAATTGTTCTCATCTAGTCAGCTTGATTGAATACGATGTTGATGTATTTCTCACCAGCCATGTTTGCAGGAGGTCCTTTATTGTGCCAAGAAAGCTGGTGTTACTCATATTCTTAAAGCTGGAGGTGCTCAGGTTGGAATGCAGTATATTTTCTGATTATAAATTGTGATTTTAAGGAGATTTTTTCTGATATTTCTGAATTTGTCAATAATACGTGCAGGCCATTTCTGCGATGGCTTGGGGAACCGAATCTTGCCCTAAGGTATCAGTTTCTGCATGATGTGTGCGTGCGTTCACTATAACATACCCATTGTAGTAGCAACCTACTTTTGGTTCATAGAAGCTCACAACTCATCATATTCAGATCCAGGCTTTGACATGAGTTTTAATTCTCGCAGCAACTTTGTAATTTATTAGTATCAAATTTTGTTGGTATCGTCATTTTGCATACACTGCCACTAGTGGTGCATTTCATCCTGCCTTCTGTCTTCTCTGCATTACTGAATTAGCTATCAACTTTATGGGACTATCTGTTTGCCAACATCATAATACTTCAGAAGAATCACAAGTTTCTACATCCGCAAAAATTCAGCCTTATTCTCTATATATTTGGAGTTGGCTACATAAATTTTTTTCCTACTTGTTTGGTTCATTACTAAATCTAATGTGTCGGAGAATCTGAAGCAACCACAACACGCACGAGATTGTAGCCTACTAGTATATATTATAGTGAAAAAAATGAAAAAAAACAGATGTAGGCGCCTGGATTCTATCAGATGTGAGTAGGTCTTCGAAATGAAACTTAGAATATAGAAGAAACATTAACACGCTTGTGGACACACAAAAAGAAAATTGAAAAGTTAATTTATGGCATTGGAGGATGGGTCATGATACTTTTTTTATCATCTTTTTTTCCCTGCTTTGTCACAGTATGTTTTTATTTTAAGATTCTTGGTTTTGGAATTCTTTCGAAAAATTCAATAGAAAAGACTATTTCCCATTAATGAGTCTTCTGAGCACCAGTCAGTTGAACATTTCATGCCTTGCCAGATAACACTGCTCTTAAATAAACAGATGATCAAGTTAATATGATTTTCGGTGATTCTGCAGGCTGTCTTTTGCTGTTGTGAGGATTTGATAGATGGATTTCATCAGATGCTGATTTAACTTCCTTGTTGTAGAGCATGTTTATTATCTAGGGAAGAAGCCTCTTTGCTTCTCCCTGGCTGTATTTTGCTCCAACTACTTCTATTTGCATTTGTATGTATGACTGGCAAAACCACTGCCCTTGCCAACATGAAGGGCATTTGTCAGCTACCCAAAATATATAACCCTTTTGCCAGGAGTTTGCTAAATACTGATTAAAATTTTATCAAATGGCAATTTGATGTGCGTACCGCATATGTGTTATTCTGACACAGATCCATGGTGTCCATAATCCATCTTTTAACTAATAAGTGACTAGTTTTGCCATACCCAGTCTAACTTATGCAGGTAGCACCTTCTGTGTGGCATTTATGCCAATTTACTTGTGTTAGTATGCATACCCATGAAAATGTGTCGGAGTCTAAAACTCACTAACAAAATAATAAGGCGAATTAAAGAGTAATGATTTATCATCTATACTACCAAGGAATCTGCACATATCAAGAATTGCGATAATTATGAGAGCTCTATTGGTGGAGTGTAAAATATAGGTACTAGGACCCACACGCAACAGAGTTGTCCTTTTGAATAGTGGTTTAAGCCCTCTCTAGGATCCAAGATGATATCCACCGTGCTACGAAAACAGATTTAGTGTCATGACTCATCCACTCCGAAGCTCATAACAGTGCAATTAGAATTATGTAGGGAAAGGTTCTCTCTTCTTTTTTTTTTTTCAAAAAATTGGCCAAAAAAAGATTAGTCCATTCCAAAAACTCATCTCAGTCCGACTCTAAATTTTATCCCACACTAAAATCTAATTCTACTTCCACCCTTGGGCAATGGTATAAGGTTATGCTATAGGAACATGAGATTTATTCAAGACCGAGTCGTGCATTGTAGGTCCATGTGCACAGGACACCTAGATCCTAGACCACCTTTTTTCTTTTTTCTGTCGTAGGTTGTCTATCTAGAGCAGTGATTTGCATGATTAATGTATTCATTGTGTACTTCATTTCAAACTTGACTTGTGCATTATTGTGTACTTCATTTCTTTGAAGTAAAAACTCATCTTGAGCTGTGTATTCTGTCTTCTACAATCATCTGATGAATTTCGTTAGTCCATCCCCATGCTTTTTGCTCAGATATCTGCTGCTATCATTGCAGGTTGAGAAGATATATGGACCTGGTAATCAGTATGTTACAGCTGCAAAAATGATCCTCCAGGTAATAATGAATTTTACTTACCTTATTTCCTGATTGAAACTATGTTATATTCTGCACTGTATTTCAGTTTTGCTGCGAGGTTGCTAAATCTTTATTTTTTTCTTAACAGAACAGTGAAGCTATGATTTCGATAGACATGCCTGCTGGACCATCAGAAGTGCTTGTCATTGCAGATAAACATACCAACCCTGTTCATATAGCTGCCGATTTACTTTCACAGGTGTCTGCTTTTTGGAGTTTTATCCTTCAGTTTGTGTTCTGTGAATTTCTGTTAGTTGTAGTTAATGAAAGTAGGTGTGAGTATTATGTTTACATCAGTTACAGGAGTTCACGATGAATTTGACGAGTTATTTGACTATATGATGACCATATAACTGAAAGATAACTGAAACCATCAAGTTCTTTCTCTTGTCACATAAAGATACCTTCTTATAGGCTTCTCTTTTTAAATGTCACATTGTCTTCTTTCCTGACCTTGCAAAACATCATGTTGCTAATTTCAGGCTGAGCACGGCCCTGACAGCCAGGTTGTTCTTGTAATTGCTGGAGATGGTGTGGATCTAACTGCTATTCTGGATGAGCTCAACAAGCAGTGCCAAAGCCTGCCAAGGGGAGAGTTCGCTTTAAAAGCACTGAGTCACAGCTTCGCTGTTTTTGCACATGATATGATTGAGGTTTGTCCTCTAGTTTTTGGCAGTGTGATAACAGACTACTTTAATTTATATAATTTCCAACTTGACACTATAATACGAAAGATCATTTGAACAATATGTACCATTTTTCATTGCAGACATTTGAAGATCAATGATTACTGATTAGAGTGTAAAATTACATTCCCTTTTGTCGGGCATTTTAGAAAATGAAGGCTGATTCTTTTCTTTTTTTAAGAACTCTTCTGCCCGAATTTCAATGTCAAGTTGGACACATTATTTTCAAAAGTGTGTGAAGTTATGCCTTTAATAATTAACTACGCTCATTCATATAGGCAATTTCAAGAACTAGTTTATTGCACACTGACACAGAGAGATGTTTTCTTGGTTACTTTGTTTACTTGCTTCTTGGTTGATTTTATTTTCTCTTTGCATGTATGGTTCATCCGAGTCTCAATCTGTTCCAAAATTACACTTATTGTTTGGATTTACAGGCTATCAATTTTTCTAACTTGTATGCACCTGAGCATTTGATCATCAATGTGAAAGATGCTGAGAAGTGGGAAAGTTTCATCCAGAATGCAGGTAACTATTATCCATGTTCTTCTGTCTATCTGATGTTTGCTTCTATGAAATCTAGGTCATTTTCAGAATTCATATTTTATCTTTTGCCACATTTGTTTCAATAACCACTCTTAGTGCATAAGTACTGAAATTTTATTAGTAGGCCTTTTTTATTCATTACTGCTGGCAGGTTACTTTTTTCTCCTCAATATTTTTAAACATGTTGCTTTCATCCATCCTTGATCAATTGCATATGCTATGTATATGTAGTACAACTTTTAGCATATGGTGATCCGTGTCTGCATTAGTTAATTACAGACTTTATACTTACTATTGGAATTCTGAATAATCAAAAAACTATCTGCAGGTTCTGTATTTTTGGGTCAGTGGACACCCGAGAGCGTAGGAGATTACGCGAGTGGAACAAACCATGTTCTTCCAACGTATGGTTATGCACGGATGTATGGTGGTGTCTCTTTAGACTCGTTTTTGAAGTACATTACAGTCCAGTCACTGACAGAGGCAGGGTTGAAGAAGCTTGGCCCTTATGTAGCAACTATGGCTGAAGTCGAGGGTCTGGACGCCCACAAGAGAGCTGTGACCCTCAGACTAAAGGACATCTAAAATGAAAATTATGTCGATAGACAAGTTGACCTCAGAAGACTAGAGACCATTGTTGTAGATTTTTATCTCTTCGGAAATGATAAGCGAATTGCTTTTTAGACGGATGCAGTTTGCGGTCGCCCAGATTTGAGTGTGCTTTGTAGCTGCGTACAATTATTCTGTATGAAATTCTTTAGATATTTTATAAAACGAAAAAGAAAAATTCTGGAGAAATTTCATGGGTACAATTGACATTTTTTGGTGATTTAAAGTTAACAATTTACACTTTGTACTTAAATTCAGTGGTTATTCATTTGTGTGTTTATTGGCATATTGAAAATTGTTGTTTACTATTACAAATAAGCTATCACTGAGAAGATGACTCCTTTGTTGGGAAGACGTGGTACTCATTTTTGAGTGTGTAGCGACTCGAGGTTCCCGATTCTTGTGCCTTTTAAGGTATTCTACACATCCATCGAAAATGGTCAATGTCGACTATGAGCTGCGGGAAATAGGATCTGGGGATATCGTTGGAGAACAATGTCGAAAATTGAGGAATGAGAATAGAAAATAAAAATGCAGCTTAGGTGCAGACAAATTCTATACAGTAGCCTTTTATCCTCCAGTACAGCACCGTAAAATTTAATCAGATGCCTTGAATTGGTGACTGAATTTCTGTTGGAATCTTGGTGCGGTGAAGCCTGGACTTGAGCTGCAACTGCAGATTCCAGATCTCATCTTCAACAGAAGGCCTTTCAGATGGTTCATTTGACAGGCACCTCACACAAAGCTCTATTAGGATTTCAGTGAATCGTCCCAGCATTCCTCGTGCAATGCTGAATCAACTATACTCCGCTGAGCTTTATCATCCGCTGGTAGGCTTACTAACAACTGAAGAAGAATCAAGAAAGATCGAGTAGGATTAGTGTTGTCCTATGAAGAATTCCTGATGTTATTTAAGTTATGAAAAGTGTTATTTTAGTATGTTCTTACTATAGACGGCCTGCATCAAATCCCTAATGTAGTGAATGGTGGGCAAGAGTTCTTGAAACAGTAATGAACCGAATTGAATGGTGAAAGGAGATTATGTAGACGATCCCAAACTTGTTGAGAATAAGACTCAGCTTGTTGATCTCGATTTTTATATGAGTGACGTGGCCAACAGATTCTGACTCCCCATGTCCATGTAGCTTTTCCTATATAATTGGACAAACCGTTAGGACAGCTGACCAATCTCCGATGGTGGGAAAGGCGGCTGCAACCACTCTAACGGTCAAGTCAATCCTTGTAAGGGTATATATTTGGGTGTGGGACGTGCTTAAGACGTGGGCCCCTTATATAAAAAGGGCTTCAGATTCGGGGAGATGTGTAGAGAGTAATAAAAGCAAAGTTATAACTTGAGAGTCTAAATTTGCATTACTTTTGAATGACACAATGTTTGAGTTTTTATAGTAGAAGGAAATGAGTAAAAACCATTGGATGAAGAGGCATGTGGCCCTTGTCATAGGTATCGATTTGTTAGTTTTAGGCTTAGGTGCATTTAATATTGTGACCGTTTGTAGCCCTAGGCCCGACACAAAGGGGCTAGACTTGACATGTTGACTTGCTAGAATGGATGCTGCAGTGTCTTGTTACATCAATCATAAAAGGAAGATCTTGTACGGAAAATTCTCTGCAGCACTTCTACCTGCCTCGCTTTATCCTTAAGAGTTTGGTCCTTTATATGGTTTCGGCCTCTCGAAAGAGGTTTGGCCAAATTGCTAAATGGGCAGAATGAAGTGGAGTGCAAGTCCAGGTTCGCTTGCTGTGTGGTTGCTATGTGACCATACATAGAGCTTCACTGGAAGAGGCGTAACACATCTTGTGGATGGCAATTGACGACATCGTACTGGTGTGACATCATTCTGCACACAATGATCTCAAGTAAGATTACACCAAAGTCGTAGACATCATTTTTCTCCTCAAATCTCAACCTTCTCACGATAGAACGATGAGATATATTTATTATAATCTCATAGTCAAGTACAAAAATGAATCTCCAATCAATATATAAAGCCAAGTAATGCCTCGAAAACACTGCATAATCAATGAAATGAAGTCAAAATCACTTACTGATAAGCGTGCTGAAATATAAAAGCTTCTCATCAAGATTAAGTGCATAGACAGAACAAATACATATGCATTGATCCACAGTTTTCCTTTGATCCATGAGAACCTTTTTCATCCTGAATCGCATCACAAATAGGCAATGCCAGTCATCATCTTTGAAGTTAACGTGAATCACACTCCTCATGTTCTTTTAGTACTCCACATTCTTGTACTTGTGCCTCTGCATAGGTTCCATAAGTTGAAGGGTAAATCACAACAATCGTCTCAACCTTCCTACTTTTTTTTTTCAACAAATAGATCCCAAATCTTCAATTAATTAGCGGCTACCATCCTCATAGACGGTTTCCATCCAAAAATTCCGTTAGTTAACCTTAATTGAACGAATTTACCCTCCATTTAACTTAAAAAGAAAGAAGAAAAACGAAAGGAAAAAAAAGGTTCTCCCTCATTATAGAGTAATCGTCGTTATTTTGGGAACAGTGCCAACTGAGATTGCCACGCGGTTTTTGGGTTGGGGTGGGATGATATGAGGGAGAAGAAAATTTTATTTTTATTTTCATTTTGTTTATTTAAATTGAAGGCCAAATTCACCATTTTAGATTCACTAATTGGAAATTTGGATGAAAACTATCCATGAGGATGGTAGCCGCAATTAATAGAAGTTTGAGGATTTGTTTGTTGCAAAAAAATGTTGGGAACGTGACTGCAAATAAGTGCAAAAATTGAGGATGGTGGAAGCAAGCATTTATTGCATTATAGATTTATAAATTGAATGGTTGGTTTCCATTGCATTTATTTTATTTCCTATTTGTGGGAGTTAATTTCCTTATGCAATGATCACACATGCTTATTATTTTGTGACTCTCTACCTAACAATTCTTGCATGTACTACTACTACTACTAATGTAGAATTTGATATTGTCAATTAGGATCATTTGAGAATTGATTTATTCTGTTTTTCACGCCACCGAAATCATTAACTTCCAAATGGATAGAAATGAAGTGACGTACGAAAAACAACATAAAAAAGGAAAAATTGCAGTCACGGTACCAAACCTTTCATTAGTAGCATACTTTATCCAAACATTTCATATGTGTCATCCATGATACCAAATCTTTCAGAATGTCGCAGTTGAAATCCAAATGGAAAAAAACTGTTATTTTGACCGTTAGTTGACCAAAAAATAAAAATTTGACTAATTTTGACCAAATTAAAAACGTTAAAATGGTAAAATTATATCTTTTCATAAAAACACAATTATGATAATTAAATAAAAATTCTGCACCCCACCCCCAAACCCACCTCCCCAAACTTCTTCTTCTTCACCCCACCCCACCCCACCGAGCAAAAACCAGTATCCATTGCCACTTTCGATTGTAACATACTCAATGAGCAATGTACAAGGCCAAATCGAGGTTCTCGACATGGATGAGTGATTGGACACATTTGTGGAGGTTGAGGCAAGAACCAACCCCATTGGGTTTTGGTGGGGTGGGATTGGAGCGCAGGGCATAAAGTGGTCTTTTTATCCTTTTATAATTAGTCATAATTATGCTTAATGTTAATTTTTTGGTCAACCAATTGTCAAACTAATAGTTTTCTTCTATTTGGATTTCAGCAGTGACATTTTGGAATGTTAGGTATCATGGATGGTATAAATGAAATGTTTGATACCGTGATTGCAATTTTCCCTGTAAAAAATTAAATTCTTCCCACTATTTCTCATTCTCCACTTCCCCTGTCAACTACTATGTCTCTCTTCCTCCTCCCCACTTTCACACCCCTCTTACTTGCCTACCAGCTCTATCGAAAACTTGGAAACCGGGTAAGTGGCTGGTGTTCGGAAACCTTTACAGCGTAAACCCGATTAGGTTTCGTTGCTTCGCGGAGTGGGCTGAAACCTATGGCCCCATCATATACGTCTGGTTTGGTTCAACTCTGAATGTTATAGTTTCCAACATAGAATTGGCCAAGGAAGTGTTAAAAGAGCACGACCAGCAGTTGGCAGATAGGCATAGGAGCCGGTCTGTGGCTAGATTTAGTAGAGATGGAAAGGATCTAATTTGGGCTAATTGTGGTCCACACTATGTTAAGGTTAGAAAAATTTGTACACTTGAATTGTTTTCTCCAAAAAAGGATTGAGGCTTTGAGGCCACTTAGAGAAGACGAGGTCACGGCTATGGTGGAGTCCATCTATAAACATTGCAACTTGGGGAAGAGCCTGGTAGTGATGAAATATATAGGAGATGTAGCATTCAATAACATAACAAGACTTGCCTTTGGGAAGCGATGTGTGAATCCTGAAGGTATATTGGATAAGCAAGGAAAGGAATTCAGGGCCATTGGTGAAAATGGAATAAAAATTTACACATTTTTCCATAGCCGAGCACATCCCATGTTTGCATTGGATGTTCCCACTTGATGAAGACACATTTGCCAAGCATGTAAATTGTAGGGACTGTCTCACACGAGCTATAATGGAAGAGCACATGATTTCTTGCCGAAAGAGTAATGGAGATGCCAAACAACACTTTTTGGTTGCATTGTTTATACTCCAAGAGAAATATGACCTTAGTGATGACACCATCTCCGGTCTGCTTTGGGGTAAGCCAATTACAATTATATGCAAACTATTAACCTCAGAATCTGTCCACTTGAGTTTTGACCACCTTCTTGTGCACCTAGGCATCATCTGTACACTAGAACACAACGTTAGGGTGCAAAGACCACCATCTTAGAATAGGTCCAAGTCAATTGCCAAAAAAAGAGATAGGAGAGAAGATTTAGCTAGAATTTAGAATACATACCTTTGGGGCAAATGAATCACCTGGAAAATAGGCCAAGATAGGCTTAGTGGACCTACCTCAAGCCTTAGAAGAGGTTACTTGATTTGATCGACCCAATTCAATTGGCATTATCGATGCCCAGTTACATAATATGGGACCCCCTCTACTACGTATATTCCATGTAATTTATAGATATAACACAAACTATAACTATAAGTTAACATGGTGACAAAATCCATGTCTGAAAATTTACAAGACATGATCACTACAAGAATGGACACAATTGCAATATCTGTTGAATGGACTATGGTAGAGTTGATCAAGAATCCGAGGGTTCAACTGAAGGTCCATGAAGAGCTAGACCGCGTGATTTGATATGAACACGTAATGATTGAAATGGACTTCTCAAACCTTCCCTACCTTATGAGTGTAGTTAAGGAATCCCTCAGATTGTACCCTCCAACCCCGCTCGCACTCCCTCATTGTGCCAATGCTAACATTAAGATTGGCGGATACGACATCCCCAAGGGAGCTAACATACACGTTAATGTTTAGGCAGTAGCACCAGATCCTGAAGTGTGGAAGAACCCTTCAGAATTCCAACCTAAGAGGTTTATCAAGGAAGATGATAAGAAAGGACACAATTTTTGACTACTAATATTTGGTGCTGGAAGAAGGGTATGCCCAGGTGCATAATTGGGCATCAATTTGTTACTTCCATGGTAGGCCACCTCTCGCACCATTTCCATTAGGACCCCCCTAGTGGGATTGATGCAAAGGAGATTGGTATGGAAGAGAGTCCTGGTATGGTTACGTACATTAAGATTCCATTACAGGCCGTACCTATTCCGCATATTAGATTTTTAGTTGTATTGACAATTATTTTTAGACAAAAGGATTATTGTAAAAGAATAGAATTGTTACAAAAGAGTTGTAAAAGTCAAAGAATCTTTTGGAAGGTTGTATAGATGAATTAGGAGTCTTTGAGTTCGAGTATGAAACAAGAGTCATCTAGCTGATGCTCGAGCTTTCAAAGTAGAATCATTGTCGCTTGGCTCTCGCTTGAGCGACGTACATCTTGCTCGCCTGGAGCTCGAGCGACAGTATTTTCTAGAGAAATCCTAGTTAGTGGTTTTCAAGAGTTTTATCTATCCTATACTACCTAAACACCTCCTATTATAAGAGTGTATTTGGGACACATTCTTTTGAAAGAATGTATTATTGAATAGTAGATTGATGGAGAATGTGTGGTTAAAAATGAATAAAAAGTTATTGATGTGATGTAAAATATTATTTTATTGAAAAATGTGTGGTTGAAAATGAGTAGAAGAATGAGAATGAAAAAAAATAATGTGTACCAAACATGGCCTAAATACCCAATGTCAAGTACGCTTTTTAAGGTGGTTGATCATTGTTTTACTTCTCTATATCATTATTACAGATCCAAGAACACATTCAAATATTGAGAATAATCTTTTGATTCTTGAGATCAACCGACTACAAGTTTGGGAAAAACATCGAATTCTTGTAATCCAAAACACTCATTTCCCAGATATCATCAGAAATATACTTTCTTAATAGCTTTCAGAGATTGCTGAAGATTGTGGGAAGTTGGACCAGAAGCACATGAAGAGTACAAGAACGAGGCGTTCATGGGGTTCCACAAGAGATAGACAATTCCAGAAGATCGGGACCAGGAGTGAGTGAAACACGTTCCAACAGGTCTTGAAGATTGTAGAAATTAGATCAGTGAATCTAGTGGGTTTTCTAGGGGGAAAAGTTTATGGGTCAGGTGTTTACTATTCCAAAATTAAAAATCAGGCCCAACAGTTTAAAATTACAAAAATCAGGTTTTTCTTAAATTAATTAATTACATTTCATAGTTATTATATTAAATTAAATATTTAACTGTAATATAATAAAATCACCTCACCCCCCCCCCCCCCCCCCCCCCCCCCCCCCCCCCCCCCCCCCCCCCCCCCCCCCCCCCCCCCCCCCCCCCCCCCCCCCCCCCCCCCCCCCCCCCCC